AAATCTTTGAAGTTTGGCAACTTTATCTTATGCCTAATCAGCAAATATGCTCCTTTACTGAAGCCTCACAAGGTTTTATTAACTGAAGCAGTTGAGAATACTAGAACCCTTGTTACCAAATCTGTACAAGCAAAATTGTCTAGCTTGTAACTTGTATTTTTGGTCATTTTTTTCTGCTAGGTCCTTCAGTAGATAGCACAGGATGCCCAAACTAAAAACTTGGGTGCTAATTTAAGGCTAATTCATATCTTACTTGTCTAGTACTTCAGAAATTTCAGCTCTTCCTCTTTTGGTAATATAGAAGACTTGAGTTGCAGAACTTGGCATTTTAATGTATGAATTCAGAATGTCTTTACGCATTACACTCCGAACAACAGCCATGTTGATGATTTTATGAGACACGAGCTAAAATATTTCTCCTAACGAATAAATGGAGGGACATTAACTTTCAGAACAAATTAAAAATAATTAGAGATTTGCATGGAAACACTTTCAGAAGAATCGTTTCTTGTTGCATGAAGTTCAAGACCAAATATAGGCTGCAAGGAAAGTGGAAATGGCTTTTGCAGACATTTTACGAACTCTCATGAATAAGAGCAAAGTGCTATTTTCTTCATAGTTAGTTGTCTCTGTGATGGTCTTTTGATTGTGTTGCTACTTCTCGGTGTACTGGTTCATGATAAATTGATAATTTTCAAGATTATTCAAATATTCAAATGTGGATAGTAAAAGTTACATTTCTTACAGATAGTCAAATATGAATAATTATGAAATGAACAAGTTGCTTTTGATTGAAATTGTTCTAAGGACACTTGCAAATATTGTTTGTCTCTCAAATGTACTCATTCAGTTCATGAATGTAAGTTTAAGGATGCAGCGTACTAAAGCTTCTTTTCAACTTCTAACAAAGAAAAAGGAAAAAGAAAGAGAGACAGAAATAGAACAGCCAACCGTAAGTTATTATACAGTATAGCGGGATTGCTTGTTAATTCACTCGGTAAGAAGGCTTTGGGAGATTCATGTCATGCGTGGTGGTAAACATGATAATCGAGAGTTTGTTACATCCTTCATAGCCATTAGCCATAACACAATGGAAAGCACTCTTGTACACTTCACTGCTTAAAATTTCCCTGCGCATAATTGGCATTTACAGATATTGAAAATGATTTCCTACCAGTGGACAAAAATAAAAACTTTTCATTGCTGATGTGGTAAGAGAACTTTACTTATGGTATCATGGTTCTCTCTTACAGATATTATGATTTTCTTGAAAGGTAGAATTATCACCTATCTGGTCATCTTGGAACAAGAGAATGGTATCACTGTCATCTGTATTCTCTCTCACAAAGTCTTCTAATAAGTTATGGCAGCTTCCATAGCCTATTTCTTCTCATAAGCATTTCTCAAATGAACTCTGAAAAGTTTTCTGTGAGCTTAGTTAGTTGTTGAATGTCAGCATCCTTTGTTTTGTTGCATAGATGTTTGAATATTTTATCAAATGAATATCCTGAGGCTGCAGCCTGCAGGCATGAAAATTGTGAACTAAAGTGTGAATACAATTATCAGTTGATAATGAACGAGTTTGGCTAATCTTAAAAATGAACAAACTTGTTATAAAATTGTAAACTTTAAATTTGAAAATACTAGAAAATTGAAATGAAGTTCAAGTTAATTTCACCAATTGGAACTAAAGTTTGAGTAAAATTTCAAGTTAGTGATTGAAGTTCACAACGTTGATCACTCGATTAGAAAAATGAACATATAATTTGACATGGCATATGTTATGTTCCAAGTTGGGTACCGTTAATGTGCCATTTGGATTTTTTTGAACACCAAACAATACACATTTTTTAGAATCCACGTTTATGCCCTAAGATTAATTATAGGCAATGTTTTTAAGGTTAACCAAACCAGCCCTAAAATTATTAGTCACAACCTACGATTCAAAACCTGGACAGTTCCCACCCCATTCTCTCCGTGCTCTCTGTCATTCTTCGCCTCAGTCTCGGAGGTCTTAGTTCCGCCATAAACAGGTACTCAATGAGATCGGATTCTGGTCTATTTTTCCTATTGGCTTCTTAAATTTGGTGGTTATTCAAGAAAGGAAAATGACAAATCAAGTGTTGGAAATTGGGAATTTCGGTTTTATATGTTGAATTCTGTGTTTCATTTCAATATATAGAATGAAATTGGTTTTTTCATTACTTAGTACGGGTGGATGAATTACAGAGTTCGTAAATGAATTGAATGATACATCTTTAAACCAGACGCCTTTGATTTTATGCCGATTTATTTTTTAACATATATCGCGGCTTGTTGTTAACTTTTATAGTTTTTTGAAGAATAGGATTAGAAAATTAATATTTAGGATTTAGAAAGATTTTGCTAATTCAGATGGATTATGATCTTATATAGTTTCTGGGACAGCATTAGAAGAACAAAAAAAAAAAAAAAATTGTGGCATGCAGTTGTTTGGTGATTGTCAGTTCTTCCTAAATGCCTTGATCATTTTACAAACTTTGTCAAATTTTCGAAGAGTGGTTATGTTTGCCCTGTGAATGTAGTTTATTGATATTTTACTTTTGTAAATGTAGAATCTTTGAATTTACCATCAAAATATGTTTTGTCATTATTTTCTTTGTTGCTACTTTTGAAATAAACAATCATAAACAGAATGAAGGCCAGGCCTAATATACACATCATTATTGAGCTTTAGGAGGAGGGTTTTTTTTTTTTGTCAATAAAATTGAGTTCTCTTAACATTTTCTTTGAATTCTACCTGATTGGCTTCACAAACTGGTAAATATGGACTGTGAAACATGATATATGCTTGATGAATTTTCTATTCAGTACACTATGTTTAATTGATTAAATTTCTCTCCCTTTCTTACTTGGGTCTCTTCTACTATAATTTTTTTGTTTTTTATCTAGTTGCAGAGAATAACATGCATTCACTATTTTCACATCAAGGCTAACGTTGTGCTGAAGAGAAAGATCAAATTGTGAGGACCAAAAGGCTATCAATGGCCCTATATGCCATAATTATATCACGGCACTGCCCTTGATCCATCATTGTATCTTGATACATAGTTTCTATTGATCTTTGGAACCATGAAACTGGCTGCGGTTTGTAGATTGATCAGTGCCCGTCATAATCTTCGTAGAATAACAAGGCCTTTGCAATATCGTTCATTTCAACCTGATTTTGTTCCAAGGGATCCCAATGCCAAGCTCAAGAAATACAAGTTCCCTGCTTTCTATGATCCATATGGACTGAGACCTCCACCATCTGAAAAGATTATTCAGCTTGCAGAACAAATTGCATCCCTTACACCCGAAGAGCGTAGTCAAATTGGTCCAGCCGTTAGAGACAGAGTAATGCTTCCCAAGCTGCAGCCCATTTCAGTATAAGGCATGGACTTAGGTAGCCAAGTTGGGGAAGGCGCTGGATCTTCAAAGGCTGAGGATAAAAAGGCAGAGAAAACAACATTCGATGTCAAGTTGGAGAAATTTGAAGCTGCTGCAAAAATCAAGGTGATCAAAGAAGTTCGTGCATTTACAGATCTGGGACTGAAGGAGGCTAAAGAGTTGGTCGAGAAAGTGCCAGTTATACTTGAGCAACAGCTCACAAAAGACGAGGCAAATAGTATCATTGAAAAAATCAAAGCTGCTGGAGGAGTTGCTGTGATGGAATAGTGCATTTTTTCTAGTTTTCTAGGGTGTCTTTTACGATTTCATTATCAGAAAGAAGGGATTGCTCATGTTAAACCATCATTTTGTGCCAAAACATTATTTTCAAGAGTTGAGGGGAGTAATTATCTGACACTTAAAACTCTACGTTTGTAGTCTACACTGAATATTGTTTAACTGTGCTATTCTACCAAAATTTTACCCATAGCTTCGGCGGAGCGTTCTCAACTGCTCACCCTGACCGCGAAGAAAGGGAAATCAGAGATGAATTGAATTTAAGTGAAGACAACTACTAGAACTAATGTAGATGAAATCAAAGGTGAATAGAAATTTAAAACAGACTCTTATCCTTCTTCAGAAAAGAGTACTGGCATACGCATACACGATTTAAGGGATAGTCTCAGCGTTTTATGCAATTGGACCGTGTATAGCTAGCTAGGTTCAACCATCTTGTATAAGTTGTTTATTTTCAAATCAATAACACATTTCCTGAGAAAATTTCTCAATTGGCTGCCAAACAGGGACGGATGTGTGGGGGGCAGGGGACTGGACCGAGCTGAAAAAAGAAATTCGTGTGTAAATTTTTTTTTAATTTTTTTAAATTACGTATTAGCTCGGCATGTAATCTGGTTCTCGATCGGTTGCACTTGCTTTTTCCCAGGAACACCAGCATTACAGGTTTTCTACATTGCCTTGACATTTTTCAGTAGTAGACATCAAGTTTTTCATGGATGTTGTAACTAATATTGGTTTAAATTGTTTCTTTTGTCGTTTGTTTCAAAGACCTGAATGGATCACATCCATTATATTCCTGCTTCAGAATAAAAAGTTCAAATGAAGTTTGGGCATTTGGACCTTTCTGGTAAGTTTTACAGCAAGACATCTCTACTTTTTATTTGCTTTTTTCGGACTTTTATCCAATCTCTTTAGTTAAATTTATTGTGTAGAGATGTTGATCGTTTCCTACTCATCCCTGAGTTCCTATGCCTTTTATGCTTGTGTGCAAAAAAATTTAATGTAATTTATTGGGTTATTCACTGATAGTCTTCTTTCATTCATCAAGTATTCAATTTGCACTTGCTAAACCTAAAACCAATGACTTTGGGGGAAATGAAATTTATCTTCATAGAATTAGCCCTTGTTTATACTTCATTTTATTTTTAATGCATTTTTTTCTTTCTTATTTCAAACACACATTTTTCAATAAAATAATATTACACATAAACTCAAAACTTTTCCTTCTTTTTTAGCCACGCATCCTAAAAAAGAATATGAGTACATGAATTTTTCACAGAAAATATACTGAAATTTGAAATGAAGGGAAATAATTGAAAGATTGGATGAGGGAAAATACACACACATGAACAGGATTGAAGCATTTCAAATTTCTAGCAAAATTGGTTCTTTCAATCTCATTCTGTCAAATATGGATAACAATTGACGCAAAACATTCCTATCGTTTGTCTACATTGTGTAAATCGTCCCCATCATTACAATTTTGACATTTGGGCTTCCAGGTTGATATTTTTGTGCGCAAAAGTCCTTTATATTTATTTTGAATTTTCTCCATTAAAACATTGTAAAATGACTAATTTAACTGTATCTTTAAATAAACAAATAGAAAAGAAAGAAGAATAAAAAGAAATAATTGCAGCTAAAGTTTCAAAATTTTTAAAAAGTACAAATGCGACTCGTGTAACACAATTTAAAACATACTAACAAAAGAAAAATAATTGGCCTCTATTTTTTTTTTATTTTAAAAACTCATTTTACTTGAACACGTTTTCAATCATATATTTTATGTGATTAAATTTTATCTGATTTTCATCAACTTTTATCAAAATATCGTTCATTTATCTAAACCAAGCAAGGGCTTAATTGTATAACATGGAACATATTGTTTTTAAAACATCGTTCATTTCTTTAACTTTACTCAACTTAAAGCCAACCAATGCTACGCTTTCCAGCATTGATCACCTAGACTTTTTGTAACACGGCGTATCCGTTTTCATGATTATCATATATTAAAATGATGCTTGTTCTAATATTACATTTAATTCTTGATTAATAAACTTATTTAGTACTTATGACTAATTATATTTTGTAGTGGTATGTACCATGTACCTCTTAGACAGTGAATATGCCTATGAAAATTAAATTTAATAAACATACAATTTTGCTAAATTAGAAATTAAATTATATGACATTTTCACTTTATTACCTTACTGAATCTAGATATTATATTGGAAGGTTTTCTCTTCTTATTAAGTACATTTTATGCATTTTTAAATATTTCATCCTTATTTAGTTAAGCTAAAAATCATATTTTAGTTTATTTTGATGAAATTGATGAAATTTGTGATTAAAAGATTAATAAATATTACGTGTCCCATGAAATGTGTGGTTGAAAATGAAATTGAGGAAAATAATGATTTACAAAAAATGAGGACCAGACAAGGTGTCACGGACTATAGCTTTACTTAAGCGCGTGACCCTATGGCAGTCGCAATTTGCCCAACTTCGGCCGCACATTGNGTGAGAATGTCACGAACCGCAGCCTTACTTAAGCCTTGTGACCCTATCGCATCCGTAGTTTGCCCTTCGTTGGCCGGACTTTGTAATAATTTATTTAAATTGTAAAATAGACAGAAATTAGAAAAGTTTAGTATTATTCTTCAGCTCTTAAATGTCTACTCCCATCAGTTGGGTTTTTGTTGCTAAGTCTATTATAGGGGTATTAGTCTTTCAAACTATCTTTCAAGCTTTCTAGTGTTCGCCCCCTACATTAGCCATTGTAATTTCCAGCTTTCGTTTATTGTAATGTTCAGCTTTCAAGCAATCAATGATCAAGTTTATTTCAATGCCTTTCAATTTCATGTTGTAAGCTTTCTTTAAATTGTGATCAAATTTACTTTCGTCCCGAAACGACCGAGAAAAGGCGGAAGGTAGTCTAGCGGAACAGACTAATACCGCACGGTGTCCCTTTCTGTGCTAAGAAGAAAGGTA